TCATGAAACAGCTTTGGACGATTGCATCCACATCTCAAGACGTAATTGAGGGACTCGAGCGCAGATGTGACGGCACGCATGAGCATGTTGAGGCCAGAGGCAAGGATTGTTAGTCAGCAGAAGATTATACCGATGCCTTTGCACAGCAAGTTTACATCGTTGTTGCTCGTGCTGCTGAGCGCATGTTGTCATCTCGTCATCATTCTGTCTCCTCTTTTGATTCCATGTGTGCCGCTGCCGTTTTGTCTCCAGAGCTTGCGCGGGCCACCCACCGGCCGGCCTCCCCTCGGACCGCGCCGCCGCCTCGCTGCAGCTGTTCGGGCCCTGCCTGCCGCGGTCCCCGCGCGCCCGATTGTTCATTGGCTGAACCCATGTGTCAACCGCCAGATATTCCAGCGGCCCAGCCGTCGGGGGAAGGCGTGACTTCGGTTTGCTCGGATGATCTCATGTATGATCCCGCCCCGGACTTGTCCGATGGCGACGAAGCCCTAGCCGGGCCAAAGGGGCACCCCTCTCAAGGTGGACAAAAAGGCGCCCCCATCGGCCCAGCCGAGTGGGGGCGCTATGCCGTCGGCCCAGCCGGCTGGGAGAATGTCTGATCCTTGTAGCCCGAGCGATGTTATGATGGATGTGGACATCGAAATGGAGGGCGGCGTTGAAATTCGCGCAGCGGAGATAGCAGCTCGCAAGAGAGCTGCTCCTGCTGTTGCTGACGAAGATAAGCCTGCCAAGAGGACAGCCGCCTCCTCTCGTGGGAAGCACAATGCCCATGAGGAGCAAACTGTCTTTCTCTGTTGGCCCGCCAAGACTGCGTTGTCCAGACCTAGCGATGCAACGGCCGCTTCGCCCCTGCGCAAGGGGGTGGAGCTGGCGCTGCACAGTGTGGCGGCACGATATCTTGTATTCGTGGGGCGACCAAGTCGTTACCGCGTTAAAGGAAGACTTAGCCGCCAACTCACAGACAATCTTTGAGCGTGTGTTTTCTAATGTCTCGCAGGACCCGTGGTCACCCATTGGACGACATTCGATAGAAGAGCCACGTGCCGTTTCGATTGCGTTCCCCCTAAGGTTGAGCAGATTCCTGAGGGTACTTATTTTCAGTCATACCCTGATGAAGCCACGAAAATGGCTTGCAAATTATACGCGAGAGCGCCAGGGCAGGCCGGCCATTATGTCCGCACTCTCCAGAAAGGAGAGGTCATAGGCCCCACCGTTGGCCCAGCCAAGCGGCGTCTGACGAGAGTCGGTGACTTCGTTAGTGTTCCAGTGGTGGACACTAAGACAGAGGGCTTCCCTACTGTTTGGTTGAACATTTGGGGCCCCTCCATGCGCACTCCGCCCCGCGGCCAAGCCGCTGGGGCCGGGTGGGGTACTATGTTTGCCCTGCCTGTTGTCGAGGGCCGTTTCTACATGCCAGTGCATGTGGTCGAGGAGGCCCTCGCCGAGTCAGCCAGAGCCAGTTATTTTCAATCTACTCCCGAGCAGGCTGTGGCCTGGCGAACTGCGATTCCTTGGTGCTCGCGTCCCTGCGATTTCCAAGCATGGCTCGCGAGCGCTGGTCTTGGAGGGAGTGTTGGTTCGAATGAGAAGCCACGCGCTCTGCCAGTCACTGAGACCGAGGCTGAGCAGCACGACCCAGTCGTTGCTGGCGCAAAGCCAATTGTGCCCGTAGATCTTGAGCAGCCAGAACCTGGGGCGCTCCCAGAGGGGCCTTCCAAAGAAAAAGAGGAGGGTCCGGTCAAGGCGCCGAAAAGGCTAAGCTTGAGAGCGGAGCTGCCGGCCGACTCAGTCGGCTCGGTCAGCAATCAAGCGAACATTGCGATGTCGTTCCCATCGGTCGGCTGTATGCCACAGAAGCCTTTCAGATAATCGAGGAGCTGGGCGGCAGGCGGCCGGCGGACCATCCGCTGGGTCGGCCTCAAGCCCAGCTGCCCCGCCCGGCCAAGCCGAGGGCGGGGCGGGCGGTGGCTCTCCCCCCGGCCCAGCCGGTGGTGGAGGGGTCCCGTCAGGTTCAGGTGGCTCGCCCACAGGGAACTCTCCGCCTTCTGGTGGCCCCCCCTGGGGGCGGTGGCGGAGGTGGGCGCCCTGGCCCGGGGCCAATGGAGGTCGATGACGAAGGAAAGGGCCCGCCCTACCTGGGGCGTGGTGCCTGGAACGTCCTTGATTACCATTCGCACAGGGGTGTGTTCGCCGAGGACGTCAAACCGTCCACGCGCGAGTGGGAGGTTCGCGTGTCCGAGATTCTTCAGCTGCATGTTGAGATGACTGATCCTCGGTTGAAGGCGTGGACGGGCAATCTGTCATTCCAAGGGAAGTGCCAGGCCATAACCCAGGTTGCCCGCCAGAATGGGCATTCATGGGCTCCATTCGTTGGCGAGGACATTGCGGCCGATCTGAAAGGTAGCTCGCCATCCCTTGGGAGATGCGATCTGCGAAACTGTCGCCGCTCTCGAGGGCTGCTGGTGGGTCCAGCGGGGTGATTCGCCGCGCAAGTCTTAGCGGTAGCTCGCCGTCCCTGGGGGGCTGCGATCTGGGAAACCGTCGCCACTTTCGCGGTCTGCTGGTGGGTCCAGCGGAGTGAGGCATCACGCAGATCTGAGCGGGGCCTCGCCGTCGTTCGGGGGCTGCGATCTGCGAAACCGTCGCTACTTCCGAAGGCTTGTGGCGGGTCCAGCGGAGTGAGGCACCACGAAAATCTGAATTGGAACTCGCAATCCTTGGGGTGCTGCGAGCTTCGCGAATGCCGCTCGCAGAAGTATTTGCGCCCATGCCACGTCATCACCTCCGTATAACGTCTCCCAAGCTGTTCATGCCCCGCTTGCGCAGGGGTGGGTACTTCGCCAAGCTAATCGTGCTCGTCACTGTTCATGGTAGCAGTCGTAGTAATAGTAGTAGTAGTAGTAGTAGTAGTAGTAGTAGTAGTAGTAGTAGTAGTAGTAGTAGTAGTAGTAGTAGTAGTAGTAGTAGTAGTAGTAGTCGTAGTCGTAGTAGTAGTAGTAGTAGTAGCAGTAGTGGTAGTAGTAGTAGTAGTAGTAGTAGCAGTAGCAGTAGTAGTAGTAGTAGTAGTAGTAGTAGTAGTAGTAGTAGTAGTAGTAGTAGTAGTACTATTTGTCGCAACATCAGTAGTAGTAGTAGTAGTAGTAGTAGTAGTAGTAGTAGTAGTAGTAGTAGTAGTAGTAGTAGTAGTAGTAGTAGTAGTAGTAGTAGTAGTAGAAGTAGTAGTAGTAGTAGTAGTAGTAGTAGTAGTAGTAGTAGCAGTAGTAGTAGTAGTAGTAGTAGTAGTGGAATAGTAGTAGTCGTTAGTAATAGTAGTAGTAGTAGTAGTCGTAGTAGCAGTAGCACTAGTAGTAGTAGTATTATAGTAGTAGTAGTAAGTAGTAGTAGTCGCAACATCAGTAGTAGTAAGTAAGTAGTAGTAGTAGTAGTATTAGTAGTAGTGGTAGTTGTCGTGGTAGTAGTAGTAGTAGTAGTAGTAGTAAGTCGTAGTAGTGTATGTAGTAGTAGTAGTAGTAGTAGTAGTCGTAGTAGTAGTAGTAGTAGTAGTAGTAGTAGTTGTAGTAGTAGTCGTAGT